AGAGCTTCATTGAAATATCACTATGTATAATTCAGTTTGAGAATGAGAATTTAAGATTTTTGAAGAGAATTAAATTGTGTTTCTAACCAAAATGCCTGTGGTCCACTCAGGTCTGTGTAGTCATTTTTAAACCTGTTTAAGTTACTTCTGTTGATTAGATATGGCAACAAGAAACCTCAGGAATATGTGATGAACAACTGAATTGCACTGTTTATAGAGACTCTCTGGTTTTCCAGGGCTGTCCGTTTACATATATTTTTAATTTTTTTAACCCTCTGAGTTTTTCAAATGCAACGCGATCAGAAATTAGTCGATGCAACTCTCCATAAGGTTTTGACATTTTTTCTCACTGCAAACACTTTTCCTATAGAACTGAGATTTAATGCGTGACATTGTTAACGCTTTTGTTGTAGCCTTTGGTGTTATTCACATCAGCAGTTGACAGCACAAAAACAGGAGAGGAGGAGACCAAGTTGTAACTGCAGACAAGTCAGAGCTGGGTGATGAATAAGCAGAATAGGAATTTCAGATTAGACATTTGGAAAATGGTTGTCACTGGGAGGGTAGCGCAGCACTGGACTGGAGAGCACTTGCCAGAGAGATTGCAGAATTACCATTCTTCACAGTCTTGAATACTCATCTTGACAAAGTCATGAATGTCCTGGTACAATGTTAGTAGTGATCTGATCTAGGAAAAACAACAACAAAAAAGAAAATCTAATAAGTGAAGGAGGAAAACCTAGAAAACCAAGGCGGTTGTTGCTGTTGGTAAAATGATAGGCTGCCTTTCAACTGCCGTATCCTTCCTCATTTCTGAGACAGGGTACTGAGACTGCCTGGCTCTAAACAGCCAAATGGAAAACTTTTTTGGTCTGGCAGTCAGAATCTTCCTAACATTTTCACAAGTGTTTGCCACCTGCTTATCCCTAGCCTAGCTGCCGAGCTGCCCCATCAACGTGGCCACACACACTTGTCTGTGCTGCTTTATGGCACACCCCAACGTGTACCTGGCTTGCCAGTGGGCTAAACTAGCCCGTAAAGATGCCAAACCGTAACAGAAAGATCTTCAAAAGGATTTTTCTGTTCATCCTATTATGGCACTAAAATGGTCTCATTCTTTTCAGTTATCCTAATATCCTAATCAGTCCCTCAAGAGTGTCTGTTACTGTGTAACAAAAAGAAAGTACCCCTGTCCTAGTTCCTAACATCTTATGTATTTTATTAAGTTTTTTTTTTTTCAATTAGGGCTTTTCTAGGACAGTTATACTGGAAGGTGAAGAGAAGAGCACAGAAAAAGCAGTGCTAGTCAGAAGGACAGTATCCTATTCCCCATGAGAAACCGAATCTTAAAAAAAAATGAAAAAGAGTCTTCTAGATAGGAAAAAGAAGCAAAATGGTAACACTTCCTAAAATACAAAAGATTTTAAACATGTCAGCCTGGGATTGCTGAAATGTTGTATTCTGTTAATGTTAAATCATTGTAATATGTATTTTGCATTGAGTGTTTTATTGTACATGAATAAAATATGGGCATTAAAATATTTTGCAAGTAAGTCTAGATGTTGTCGACCAAAATAAAAGAAATAAAATGAAACATTTCTACTCGAATAAGAACTTTGCAACAAATAAATTTGCTCATAGAAGATTATACAAGATGCTATGGAACATTTAAATTCACTCCAAACTGCATTGATCAGAGGAGAAGTATCCCCCAGGAGAATTTTTTTGATCAATGGTAAAATTGAATTGTATACCCAGGCAAATACTTTCTGGTGATATACTTCTAGATGGGGAAGCAGGTCCTATTTCAAAGGTACTTATTTGTCTAGCATGCCAAAACAATGTAATCTATGGGTGAAGATATCTACATGTCCCTGGAGAATCAGCTGAAATGTACATTTCCATGACAAGGGAGTAATTATGCCAAGATGGTTGTTTTTTAAAGAAATGTTTTCAAATGATATGGGTTTTGAGTGAGAAATTGAACTCATTTATAATATCCTAATATCTTACTGTTCTTCACTGATGACAAATATAATTATATACTTTACAAGTAAAACTATTTAATAGGATATAAATTAATACTTTGAAATTGCTGCAAAATAATAGAAATGCCTAAAAATTAATCTTGTCAATACTCTTGCACTTAATGAGACTTAAAATTATGGTAGACCTTGGAATCGGTTGTCTGCTCGGTCAGATAAATGCTCATTGAATTTCTCAGTCCTGTGCTGAGAAAGTAATGTTTTGAATTTCCCATAGTTTTAAGTGAATACTTAGGCATGTACTTAATTCTGAATATTATAAATTGTGTGATAAAATATTCCAATATTGCATGAAGAAGCTGCATGAAGAATACATACTGAAGAAGTACGTATTTTTTTCACATGATTTTTAAATGCAGTAAATTTTTGAGGATATGAGTATATAAGTAACACCAGCATACTTCCGCTTTCCACAATCCCATGTTTATTCTGCCTCAGCTATGATGAAATCTGTGTGGTTTGTTGTTTTTTTTTTAAACTCTTTGACTGCTGAGGAAAAGGTAATGAAGAGTTTTTTCACTCTTCTTCTAATACCCATGTTCAGAGAGTTTCCCTCTTTCTTGGCCTATAGCTGAACGACAGGAATTTCCCCATACTGGTATGGGCTACATGAAAACAGTGTGTGACTGGAGCACAGGGTGGCACACCTGATTGCCGCCTGCCATGCGATAATCTAACCCACAAGGCTTTCTATAGTTGGAACTTTGCCTTTGTCCCAGTCTTGATACATGAACAGTATCAGATAGTGGGAGTTAAGTGACTTTTTCCAGCCACAAAACTGATTTTAAATATCATCTCTTCCTTTATTTCTCCCCATTGTGCCTGATTTTTCCTGTTCTGCACCTTACAGTTAGCTTTAAAATACTGAACAGAAAGAAGCAGTATTTTGAATAGCGCTCGTTTCTTTGATGTGCGAGTGCTCAGCTGCCAAACTCAGCAGCGCTTCATGGGCAGCCGAACATTTTACAGTTTTCATTGTTGTTTACAGAGCTAATTAAGAATCTTCCTAGTACTCTTCTCAAATGACAACGTATCAAAATTGCGGTGACTACCTTGTGAATGACAAGGTTTTACTGAACGTGTGACCAGGAGCGGAGGTGAAGAAAACTGCTAGCCTTAAAAAACAGACGGCAGATCAAATACACATTCCTTTATAGTCTATATTAAGTAAATCTTTTAAACAATTGTGTGCGCATTTGGAGCATAGGTTATTCTGCTCATTTAACTACTTTCCCCAAGCAATTCTATTAATTTAAAACAATGTTTGGTTTCCCATTAAAAAGTAAGCATTTGCCAATAGCTCTGTAGACTTGTACTGTAATGAGTTCCATATGGCAGGACTGCTCTAATAACATTGTTTTCTTTAATGTTTGTTATTTTAGGAAGAAAAGGAGCTAGATATAGTAATTTTAGCATGTAGTAACTCAGTATTTTATGCTTTAAATTTTTGTGGTCTTTGTCAAGTTGTTGGTAAGACCAGAGCATTATAGTAGTTCTTTCTGGCTGTAAAATCTTTGAATATATTGTGTTGATGCAAATCACTGCTGCTGTAAATCAGTATACAGAGATGATCAGTTTCATTTTTAAATGAAGGGTTAAAAACCTAATTTTTAACCATCTAGATATTCAAAATAACCTTCTATTTATTGTGGATGTAAAACATGCAGTTTCACCCAAAGACACATCAGCTGTCCTCTTGGTATGATATACTGTGAGCCCATTTGAGCAGGTGCTTACGGACAAATATACTGCATGTTTATAAAACTCAGGGCTTAGGAGTGTGCTGTGTATGCATTAGGAGACTACTCTACTGTTTTGATGTTAACGTTACCAGTGCTTCTTTAGATTTCTATAGACTATCTTAAAATGCAAGTCAAGGAAAAATGCATGAGAAGTATTACAAAAGGATCTTGTTGCTTTGTAACAGACCTTAAATCAAGAGTGTTTATTACTAAGCTGCTAGCAAATATTTGCTTGCATACCTTTTATTGTTTCAAAGGCTTTTATGAACAGTATGCCACAGTGCTAGTGTCATTTACATGCAAGTTTCTAAAGTTTTAAGCTTTCCAGAGAAATAATAGGGAGAAAAATGATAAGAAACTGGAACTATATCTTTTCTAATACAACATTTTTGCAAGCATTTTGTCTCTTCAAGATGCTGTGACATCCTGTTCAGTTGAAGGAGCACACGACTTTAATTGCATGACTCATTCACTTTAAATATTTAATAATGCTTTTATTAGTTGCACTGAACCAGTGAAGTAAGATCTGTAATATCTAGTGCTGGTCATCATTTTTATTCATCATAGTTTAATAAGCATTATAATTACAGATGGAGGAAGAAATATGAGTTAGCTTTGTGGTTTTGCTTGGGACTTCTGTGCACACTGGTATGATTGGAAGGGATTATACAAGCTCTGTGAGCATAGCTGATCGTATTCAAATACACTGATGTAGGCTTCCCAGTATTGACACATTATTCTCTATATAGAAGTCACTGCAAAAAATTATGAGTCCTGACACTATTAACTCCATCTGGCTTAGTAGCGAAGTGTAAAAATTTGAAGGCCGAGTGGACTTGTTCTTGGCAGGTGTTCTAATGCATGCGTTATCAGTGGAATTAGACTTCCACTATTTTTACCAACCATTTCCCGTATTTGCTTGCAACTTGCACAAATAGCAAAGTTATTTAGTCAGTTAGGGAAGCTTTCATTTGGAGATTTCATCAGAGTTCAAGCTGAAAGACCATTTGTAGACAACATAAGCCCTCTGGGCTCAGTTCTCAAGTAAATATAGATGGTGATAATTTAGTATAACTTTCTGCCTTTAATATTACAAATATTACTATTTGCATGCTATTTGCATTCTTATGTTTTAATGGGAGGTATAGTCGGGCAGACTAATATGTGGTGCATTTTTTAATGTTTTGTTAAAACATCATTTTTTCCCCATCAGCAACTTATGCGGGAGCGACAGCAGATGGCCAGCCGCCCCTTTGCTTCTGTCGATGTAGCACTGGAAGTAGGAGCTGAGCAAACAGACTTTCTACGAGGGCCATTAGAGGTAGGAACAGTGGTGCTGACAAGGGACCGTTGTGATTTGCATATTTATATTGCTAGTCTCATCTGCATCTGCTTCTGAAACCAAGCAGTGTCTGATTACCTGGAGCTGACAAGTCTCAGCTACATATGTTATGCCATTTTCAAGGCGCAGAGTTTTAATAGCATGACATGAGCTGTAACAAAAGCCACTGGAGAATCTATTAGCCTGGGCTGGAGTGACAGCCGGCTCACCTGGCAGTCCTTTCCTGATGGATGTGAGCTGAAGGAACAGCAAGATGCAGGCCTTAAGGAGGGAGCAAACCTCATGCTCGGTCCTTCGAGTACACAGTGCCCCCTAGTTAAGATCTATCTTAATTAACAGAGATTACAGCAAAGAAACAGACAAATAAATAAATAAACCAGCTGCAAGTCGAATTTCAGTGTTGTGTTTTATATGTACAGGTTTAAAGAATACAGAATATACTGCATATTTTCGTTTGTAGATAATGGCTACATTACTGCATTCTTTTATTGTAATTGCAGTACATTGGGAAAGAAATAATAATATGCAAGGCAATGTGATATTGGAATAGTGTAATAATGCATGAAATGGATTCTGGAAGTTTCACCTGAAAATAGAGGGAGAATTACAGTATGTGGATAATAATGAATATCTAATCTAGGTTGGGCTTTTGGTAGATTGTAATCCTCTATTCCTTTACTTTAATTTACAATATTGTGTTTACAGTTATTACTTTATCTTATTTATGGTGCGACCTGGGAATGAGGTGTGATAGCTCTGAAATCTTCCAAGACTGTACTTTTCATTGCTGCCAATTCCTCTTAAATTCAAAGCTTCTCTTACTTTTCTCAATAGCCTCTTTCAATGGAAGATTAAATACACTCTATCAAATCTCTAAGGTTCATGGAGAAGTGAGCAACGTGAAAAACAGATTCATAGCAGTAAGAAAAAGAATCGGCTCTTGAGTACTTACCAAATTGAGGCGCTCTGTCCTGCTACTGTATAGGACGCAATCACAATTATTCTTCCTGACGTAATTTAAATACTTGGAATAGGTAATGCATAAAAATGCCATATCTCTTTGAAGAAGCTCTGTTATTTTCTGACCAAATACAAGAACCCCCACATTCTTCACCAATATCACCATTTGTCTGTCTCCTTTTATCTTGGAACAGAAGACCTCTCCAGCTCCCTAGGCTAAGGACGCATTACACTGTAGTTAAAATTTAAGTTTTTTGAATGTGATTTCATTGTTTCTATGCCGATATCTGGGAAGATTTTCTCTGTTGTCTTTTCAGAGGGAGGCAATGAGTTGGAGCTGAGGGATCCAAACTCTAATTCTGTACATACTGTTTATTTAATTAAAATATAGAATTAAACATCACAAGTTAATTGCCACATTTTCTTCTCTCATATCTTTTATTTAGCACTAAAAGAGGTAGATACTAAAATATTTTAATTATATTCTACAGTTTTTATTAGCTTTTTCTTCCTTGCCTAGCATTTTCTAGTAATTGTTTAGTATTCAGTATCCATAGTGTTTTTTCCTAATTGATACGTAGTTATATACAGAATGAAGTCCATTCAAAGTTTTCTTGGAATTACAATATACTGATCTATATCAAAACAAAGCATTGTGCTAAGGATTAAATGAATGTGATTCAGGCTATTGATTGTCCTTTGATGTGCATTCTGTAAGAAAGAGCTATATTAAGCTTCTATTCCAGGTCTATCCTCAATTTGTGAAAGGACACTAAAAGTTGTAGTTGCCATTCTGTTCTTCAGTCTCAGCTCTCTTTTGGACTGAAGGGGATTGGGATCACACATGTATTTCCAGGATCCAATGCTTAAACAATAGAATAGCATGAAGTATCTGTAACTTCATTTTGTTGTGTTGTTAGAATCTTTAAATTATTTTAATAATTCTGTGATTTCTGATGCCCACTGTGATCTTTTAAAGTTAGAGAAAAATAGGTTAAAATGAGCAATATGCACTAACTCTCTTCAAAATGTTCCACGGACATTGCAAAGATCTTGCACTGATACGCCAGGGGTTCCAATTTTAATGGTGGTGTGTTGCATCCCCTCGCCCTATACTTTTCTTGAGACTTAATAACTCTGGCACTTCCAATGACATTGTCTTGATCCATGGGTCCTTTGGGCAAAGTGTAATGTCACTGAACTGTTCCAAATATTGCTGCAAGTCTCCCATTCAACTGCATAGTAAGACTGCTGTTCGTTTATGTCATCTGGCTCACATGATGGTGGTTTTGTACAGCTGGCGTTCTATATTAGTACTGATGGGCTGATACGTGTCAATATTCATATGACTATCTACATGGTAATTCCAGTATGCCATTTGGTTAGCTTTTGTTTTATTACTTGCATTTATTTGTAAATATCCAGAGCAACTGCTTTGCTGTAGAGTTTTAGGTTGCAGTAGTAAGGCATTTTTTGTCCAGCGTTTGGAAAGCATATCTAAAAAAATTAGGGTATGGATACTGTACTTAAAATGATCGACTAGTTTAGATACTTACATTACACATGCACAAACTTCTTTACAGTTGGGGTGACAGAGCAGTGGCACAGGCTGCCCAGGGAGGTTGTGGAGTCCCCTTCTCTGGAGATTTTCAAAACCCGCCTGGATGCAGTCCTGAGTAATGTGCTCTGGGCAATCCTGCTTTAGCAGGGGAGTTGGACTAGATGATCTCTAGAGGTCCCTTCCAACTCTGAAGATTCTGTGATTCTGTGAATACAACTGATAATATTTGGGTCTATTTTCAGTTAGCAGCAATTTGCAACAGATTAAAATAAAATCCCCAAAACACTACAGAAGAGAGTTGAACCTCTGTTATTTTGGGCTCTCTTTCTGCTTTGGAGTCTTTACCAGCCAGTCTATCTTTCTTACTGTTTTGCCAACGAAATGACAATATCTCGATATTAACTCCTTCAAAATACTTTGATCTGCATCATATTCCTCCTGTTTCCTGCTGTCTGAGTGGGTTTTCAGGCACTGGCAATAGCCTTTGCTCTTCCCAATTTAAACCATGTTAATCATCAATCTTTACCTCTTCAGGCTGCCTTTCTGTGTAACTGATTCACAACATGACATTAACAAGTCTCATCCTGTCATCCATTCTGTCATGTTGGCCTTATATCAACTATTAAATATCGTATTGTCAGCTTAAACTTAACACAGAAGAAATCAAACTTAGTTTTTCCCTTGCCCTCCTTGCTTCTTGATATCACATCAGCCACTATCTTGCTAATGATATTGGTAACATGGTAGTGTCCTAATTTTAAATCTATGAAGTAATATCTACTCCTGTTGTGGCATGATATTCATGATACTAATCTTGTGCGCAGTTATCCTATTTAACCCATGCCAGCCCTAATCTACATCTTCGTCTGCTGCCATTACAATTGCCATTTCCCTAAGTAGAAGCGACGAAATCTGCATGAGCTCTTACAAGGGAAGGTGAGACTGGAGGAAGGCCAACCCTCACTCTTCCTCCTCCCTCTTGGGGAGAATAAGAGCAGCCTGAAGTTACTCCGGTGGAGGAGAGGAAGGGAGAACTGGAAGGCAGTGAACCTCTGGATACCAAGAGGGGAACAGTCAAGGGGGGGGGGGGCTACAACAAAGTGACCGGTGTCCCAGGGGCAGGGAAAAGAAGAGAAAGAATTCCTAAGGTCCCCCCGCCAGCAGTTTCACATAGCACGGGCTGTTAAGGAGCAGAGTAAGAAAACACCAGAAGCACATTGTCCAGAGAGTTTGAGACCATTGTGATATTTTGTGATACCACCATAATTTTTTCAATACTAGAATCATAAAAAATTAAAGTAGCATCATAGATCAATAGATACAACACTTCTAGACACTCAATGGCCTCAGTGTTAAAACATTTTTTATTCTTTTCATTTCTTTTTTCTAGACATCTAAGCCATTTCCAGACCTGGTTGCTTTTTGCTCCTTAGTATGTCCCAAAAGCTAAATCATTTAGGCTATCTTTATATTCTAAGATTCCTTTAGGCAACATTTTTTCCCCAAAATATAAATCACTCTTCAAAATTCACTTCCACTGTGCTGCGGACAATCATTAATCTGTATGTTAAGTGAAAAGTAATAAAAGTGTTTCTTCTGTCCTGCTTTGCCTAACTTCTTATTCAGAGCCCATGATTTTTATTTTGGAAACAGGGACAGATTCTTTCTTTAGGCCTGTAATATAAGGTGGGCACTACCGTAAACTCTAACGTGTGGTCATGCGAAGTCTCTGGACAGCAGCATCTACTGTGCTGCATCTGCTGGATTAAAGACAGATGTGTTATTGCCTGCATAAGAATCAAGTACAGATTTGCTCCATGATCATCCATTTGATATCTTTACAGTATTACCTGAATATCTTTTTTTTTCTTCAAATCCATGTTCATTAATAATTATTTCTGCAGAAAAACATGCAGTAAATCTTTCAGTCATTTTTCCATCAAGTTACTGTATTTCCTGTAGAATTGTCACAGATGTTAGATTGTTCTCTACTTCTGACAAGGTAAGATGATCTCAAGAATTTCAAATTTCAAATAAGATCTAGCTTTGTTCCTCTAGCAAGCAGTAAGTAATATTTACGGCACATTAAATAAGTTTTGAATTTCAGGCACTCCTGATAACTAGGAAGCAAAGATCGGCCACTGTTTCTCATTTATCTGAGTCTAAGAATTGTAAGGTATGCACCGACACCGGTAGCTATCATTATACCAAGAATGGCTCTTGGAAATCAGAGTGACTTATTAAAACACATTGAAATCCTGTATCAGAGGTCTGTGAAGTTTAGGTAATTGAAGTTATACTAATAAGCTGTGCTGCTGGTGTCTCCTGCCAAGAAGATGTCAGGACCTTTTAGCTTGCTTTACAAATAAATCCAGTTAAGTTGGGTTCGTCTTCTTGTTTAATTTGAATAATACAGTAAGTAATTTTTGAAACTGCAACCTAAGAATGCTCCATTATT